GGAACTGCGACTTCTTCGAGGAGAAGCACTCGGCGATCGAGTTTACCGGTTTCCTTCCTCGATCGTCGTTCGAGCACAAGGACGCGCGTCGCCTAGGGACGATCACTCTCCGATTGCCCGGCGCGCTCGACGAGGGACACTCGTTCTCCTTGCCGCTCGGCAACGCGTGCTCCTTCGACGGCGCGGAGGTTTTCGCGCGGAGGGCGGCTCGCGGGAAGATCGGCATCGCGTTCCTCGACCATTTAATCGGATCCAACCGGATAGGTTTCGCGCTGGTTCGTTGGCTCACTCTGTTCGTTCACTGGTCGCTCGTCGATCCTCGCCGGCGCGCGGACCGATCGCGCGACCGTGGCCGTGTCCGGACGCACGCGCGCCGCAGCTACTTCGTTTGTTTACGTTCGCGCTGCTCGAAAATCCGTTGGCGAGTCGGTTGCCGAACGATCGCTCGGCGCGGCAGAGTCTCGTTACGGCGCTCGATGGCCGTCGACCCGGTCCGCTGCGGACGCATCAGCCTCTCCACGAGCAGCACCAGCCAGGTGACCACGAACGAGAGGAGCAGGAAGACGAGCAGCGGAGTCGCGTCCTCGAGCTCGACCGACGACCAGCCAGATTTCGGCTGAAATCGTCACGGGTGATTGCGTTACTCGACTCGGGGACGAGCGGGGTCGGGGGTTACCTGGCTGGATCGCGTGGCCCACTCCGCTTTCATTAACCTCTGGAGGATCCCGCTGTCGCGCAGCAGCAGGATGCTGGAAGCGAACGAGACCGATTACTTGCGAGAGGTCGAAATGACCCACTCCTTCTTTTTACAATGATTACAAAGACAGCTACTGTAGAAATCGATTTAACGATAGACAAAGTAATTGTAAATAAATAGAAATTTCAATAGTACCACTGGCGGAGTTTCTACAGAAAAACTTCGGAAAGTTAATTTAACTGTTCTAGCGTTAAGTTTGACCTGCTTTGAATTTTAGAGTTTACAGTTATAACAGTCTGATGCAACGTAATCAGTGGAAGATTCTATCAGTATCAGGTTGCAGTGATATCAGGTTTATAAGCGTATCGACTGACTTGGTATCGATGATGCCGCGATACGGACTGTGCTCCGGCACCGCCATAGCTATCGTCGTCTGCACCATGGCGTCGAGAGGCTCCAGGTTGCAGTCGACCACCCCTTGCAGCACGGACGCCATGTTGTCGAGCGTCATGAACGCGTACTTGTTCTCGCTGCAGACGCGCCGCAGCCCGTCCAGATAGTTGATCGGCAGATCGGTCTCGCTGGCCAGCAGCTCGTCGAACATGACCGCGAGCATGCCATCGGTGGTGTTCTATTCGGGTCCGGCGCAGCCCGCGCCCAAAAAGCGAACGGAAGGAGGATCAATGGACGCTAGTCAGCCGGAATAATCATTCAGCGGAGTAACGCACAATGACTTTTACGGCTGTACCGGTCGGAGGTTAATTTCAAGCAGAAGCTCGAAAGAGTTTCGTTCGGCTCTGGTTCACGGAGCTTCGCGTTTCAAACGAAGATGCGTCAATTTGACGCATACTGAATTTATAAAGATTACTTGGCAAACGTTCATGTCGGTTTTGGTTGATGCAGTTACAAGAATACGTATAATGACCTAATTTTAACACGTTAAGCGCCATGTCAGCCACTGGCGACCGACGCTTCTGAATGACTAAAAAACAACCGTAACGTACAAGACAACCGATGTGAAATAAAAATGTTTAATAAGGCAACTAAGTTGATAATACGCAAACGTTGCAACGTCAAACGATTCATAAGTATTCCTACTTTTCTTTGCTACAAAAGACAAGCGCCACGAAAATCTTAAGCGTTTTCCCACAGAGTTTAACGTGTTAAATCCCTAATTTCCAAGATCTGAATGGTCGAACATCAATTTCTCCAGGAACAACAGAATAAACCGGACAATAAACCTAGTGTTAAGATCGGTTAAGTCCGAGTCTCGTCGACAAGCTCACCTGAAAGAAAGTGTAATCGGCCGAGTCGCCGATCACGGCGAATCGGTAGCTGCCGTCCGCCAGCATGCCGTCCATCGTGGTGAACGGCATCGCGAACGTCTTCACCGCGAGGAAGCTGATCAGCGCGGCGGAATAAGCCGCGAGCACGACCACGGCGGTCAGGTACACGCTCAGATGCACCAGCCGAATCGGATCCAGCAGAGACGACTCCATGCCTGCCGAACGTCTCTCGTGACGAGCGTGTTTTCCGCGGCGTCTCGACTTGTTCACTCACCTTGACCGCAGAACGCGCCGAACACGAGGAACATCACCTCGAGGAGCGCGGACTGGGCTTGCATCGAGGAGTCGAGGAGAGGTCGGTCGAGGTTCACCGTGAACGCGTCGATCGTGGTGATCGTCAGGGCCGCGATCACGATCGTCAGCGCGATCGCGTTCCAGGTGTTCAACGAGAACGGCGCGAAGTACGCGTTCCATTTGACCGCCGTCGTGTCGGGCCTCTTGATGTACACGCGACACCTAAACACGACCGCGAGCAACACTCTCTGGCGACGCAACGAGACGGCCGCGCGTAATGCTCACCTGGTAGAGTAGACGGGCGTGGTGAACTCGATGGCGTCCAGCCGGTCGGACGTCATCATCAGCTCGGTGGCCGCGAGGTCCGCCTCGCCTTCTATCAGCATCCTCATGGAACCGGTCCACGTGCCGTTCGGCAACCGTATGCCCCACGATTCCACTTCCCTGTAACTGAACCTGGAATCGCAGCTGGAATCAGCGGGATCGAGCCGATCTCCTCGGGATCGCTCCACAGTTCAAGCGGAAACACGAGCGACGCGATTTTACGTTTTCCCGATCGCTCGTCTGAGTGGCCGGATTCCAAGCACGCCTTGTCTAATGAATTTTCGGTTTTGGCGCAGAGATCAGCGACGCGTCGACAAAATGGTAACGAATCGCGACAAGTATGAGGAATATGTGTGTCTTTCTTTAATTGTGTATATTGTAAGATGAAATTTGATAGAATTTGATTCGACACCGCGTCGCTCGTGTGCACAGGCCTTTACGAGTTCGTTTGTCGTTGCCGATCGTCGTCCGTTTCCCTGCTCGTCTCGCGGAACATGCTGCGCGGGTTAGGACGCGGGATCGCGCGGCCGAGCGGAGGTCGCTTCCGATTCGACAATCAGCATCCCGCGGTCCAACGATTCTTCTTCGAGAGACGCCGACGGAGCGGCGACGGTCGTAAGAGGGACGCGTTCGAGGAGAGATCGGCCGCCGATCAGGAACTGTACTTCCGAAGGGAGACGGCCAGACAGCTCCGGGAACTCGGCAAGCGTGGCCTCAAGAGGAAAGCGGAAATGGATCGCGACTGCGACGGTTCAGGCCCGGAGAAGAGTCGGAAGACGACAAACGAGACGCCCGATTCAGGTGACATACGCGCGGTCTCTCAAAGAAATCGGTTCTCACGTGCAATTCATTCCTTCTTGCAGCAGATGAATGACCTCGCCGAAGAAGCCCGCGATGCCGATCGTGCGGTTCGCTTCGTCGCGGAGGATCCGCGAGACCGGGGGATCCTGCGAACAAACCGATCTCGATACCGAAGTACGCGATGGTAACATTTCGACGCGTTCGTCCTGTAACGTCCATCGGACGACGATCGGAGTTCCTCGATCTTTAGAAGATTAAATTAAATTAAATTAGTGTTCGAGGAACTCTGAGGATCTAAGGAACTCGAGTGGACGTCGCAGGACAGAAACGTTGGAATTCGTTGATCGGTATGTCTCACTTGCACAGCGACGACTCTGATGTTGCGACCGTGGAGATCGTGCCTGCGCTGGTAGAGGCCCAGCCGAGGCCCCCGGAAGCCTCGAGCGGCGTCCCACTCGCCGAACTTCATCCACCTCAGCTCCTCTTCCTTGCCGATCCGATAGACGTCTCTGATCACCTCGCCGATACCGTGGCCGTCCGGCTGGGCGACCATAAAGACGCAGTCGAACGGCACGTGCACCTCCGACAGGAAGTCCTCGAACTTGGTGTCATTCCGCAGGAACAGCAGCCACGTGGGATACGCCATCGTGATCCACCTGGAGACCTGTTCTCAATCCCGAAGGGTCGTCTCAACTGGCTAAGATTAATTACCGTTACACGAGCAAAATTACCAAAGCGAATTGCTCCTTGGTCGCGTCCAGGTCGTTCAATAGAACGAACAACGGCCTCTTGATGGAATTGTAAGTATCCCCCAGCTGAAATGCAAATTCTATGTGCGAATGGCGTCGCTGCGTCGCGCTATGGGGCATTTGCGACGTGAAATTCCGTAATACGCAAATACACGTGATTGCTTAGATTCTAACAGCGAAATTGATTATCTTTAAACAAGTGATCAACGAATACGAAGAGAAATCGTCGTATTTTCTCCTTTGGTTTCACGGATATTAACCAGTTAACTGTGCTTGACGACACGTCATCGTAAAACTTGACACGATACTAATTCTTAGCGATGGATTCTCTATTTTCTCACGTAAACATGTAATCCTTTGTTTCGCTTTGATCTTTCATTAACACGTTGAACGCCGCAGGATTTCATAGAGCAAAACACTCAAAATGGAAAAAATACAATATTAAATCATTCGATTGAATTGCGTTATTATTATCGCACACTCATCTAGCTGAACATCACCACATTAGGTAGCATTATTCATAACATAGAAATATTTCTAAATAATCGTCGTTTAACCGACTGAATTGCAGTAATACGATTTGGTTGGTCACCGGTGGCCCCCATGGCATACAACGTGTTAAAATACTCTACGCGCATTCGTCCTTCGACGAGTACACGCTCCATTTTATTATATCCAACTAAACTCCACAGTTAACTGGTCAAAAGAGACCGTTCACATCCGCCAGACAAATACCCCACGATGCACCGCTCGATCGAACTCACGCGATCCTTGAAGGTGCGGAAATCCATGATCGACGTCCGAATGCTCAAAGTCCCGCTGAAGTATCTCTGAAGGCCCAACAGCCCGTCGATTTCTTGCAACTCTGAAAGCATCCCCGTTCCGACAACCATTGCCAATTCGATATCGCAGCGAGCTCGGTCTCACCTTTGCCTTCCGTCGGATTCGGCGAGTCGTGGAACAGTATGATGCAGGTGTTGTTGAAGTAGTCGTGAACGCCTTTGATCAGATTCTCGTAGACGAACAGCGGCCTGATGAGGATCGGCTCGTTGTCCTCCGGTTTCGAGCGGACGCCGCCTTCCCAGAGGCAGAGGATCGGCAACGCGAGCACCAGCCATCGCCGCGCCCGCGATCTCGTCGCTTTCCGTGCTCCGGTGGCCGGCATTTGCTCGCGTCCGCTTGCGCGATCGACACGCGACTGTGATTCACGCCGGTAATCCTCGCCCGTTCCTCGCGCGGCGGCGAAATTCGAATCAGATGAAACGCGCGGATAATCTATGTTCCTCCGGGACGATAGTTGCCTAGCCCGATCGACAGCGACGCAGGCACAACAAACTGGCCGCCGCGGGATCGATCGCCGCGCGGACGCGAGCGACCGCCGTCGGTTCCTCGGCGTCTCTGCCAATATTTGCCGTGCATCGTTCAGATTCGACAACTCGGACCATGCCCGCGCGTATTATTCATGTCGAGCGGAAACGACGCTTCGTTTGCATTACGATTCCGTCGTGCCGACCGTTGCGGTTGAGACACGTGGACGTAAGTCTCCGGCGGGACGAAACGCTCGACGCCGATCGAAAGCCGATTTTCGTGATGTTCGATCGAGAAACGATTGTATTGTTGCATGATAGAGTACATTATTTGCTTTTGTCTTATTGGTAGTAATGCTTCGAGTCGATGAATATTAACACGTCAAGCACGTCAGTCACTGGCGACTGACGCTTCTGAATGACTAAGAAACAATCGTAACGTACAAGACAACCGATGTAAAATGAAAATGTTTAATGAGGCAACTAAGTTGATAGTGTAACGCAAACGTTGCAACGCCAAACAGTTCATAATTATTCCTACTTTTCCTACAAAAGACAAACTCTATGGGGAAACGCTTAAGATTTTCGTGGCGCTTTACGCGTTAAACCTTGACACTGAGATGTTGACTACTGAGTTGCGAACGAATGATTTAATGACTCAAATGGCAAGAGATCTATGCATACTTTCCCTTTTCTCTGTTATTTAAGCATTCGTTATATGTAATTTCGCCGAATTTGCTGGAAGTCTCGTGTTCTTTGAAGAACTTTCCTCCGCAAACGGTTAACCCTTAGCGCTCCATGTTGTTTTGGAGTCTATCGGCAGCTGCAACTAATTTTTATAGTATTCCCAGCGGAAATGAGACATTCTATAACGTTTCTTCGACCTTTGGTTTTCCTTAGTACAAAATTCGGATGTGTGGAAGTAGTTTCTTTGAGATTGAATCAATTTCCTGAACCTAACCAAGATTTCCGTGGCGCTTAACGTATTAACGGTTACCAAGAGCACTTACGCTACCAATTAGTCCTGCGAAGTATTTGCAAGGTTTAAATTGACTGTTAACTACGTGGATATCTTATTACAAAACTGAATTGAGACAAAATGTACGTAACTGTTAACTATGATACGAAAGCCAGAGGAGTCAAGCCTCAAACGTGCAAACTCCTTTCGTTCTAAAGATCGCCGAGTGAATCAACTCCTCGAAATTCCATGAAAATATACGAAGCGGTAACAAAGTTATAGATTCTCGATCGCCGTCCGCCAGTTCCGTCCTACTGCGCGACGCCGATTCGTTCAAGGACCCTCGCTATCGGTTGTTTCGTTACCACTTAACTTGTCACCCGTCATCGGTCGAAGCGCGATATCGCGCCGCTTTGTAAAACAGCGCGTGGCTCGGTCGTGTAAACGCGACGGCGTCCTCGGAGGACACATGGAAGCCGAAATCGAAGACAAGCGTGTACCCGATCTATGAAAATTCGCGTATCGCCACGTCTGCCGCGGCGTATCGCGCGACCGAACGGTCCCAAGGAAAAGGTGCTTTCCATAAATTCGGCCGGAATTCCGGGCAACCTCGACGTAATCGCACGGTCATCGCACATGTCCGACGCAAGAAATTAACATCGGTATCGATAAACGGAAAATTGCAAGAAGGACGAACCGCATACCGTACCGAGCCGTACCGCGCGGTGCCGCTACGTACATCGCCGATCCCCGTCGCACCCCGCAGCGCGTCCCGCGGAAACGAAAGTGGTGGAAGAGGGTAGAAAAACTGCGGCAGTATCAATTGCTAAAAAGAAGAGCAGTCGACGACGATCGGCAAAACCGTCGCGCGAAGGAGGTTCGAGCAGCAGGAGCCCGCGATTACCATACCGATTGGCTTCGATGAACCGCTGGGCGATCGTCGCGTTCGCGGCATGCCTGCTAGGGCTGTGCGGCTCGGCGCCGCACTCTGCCGATCTTGCGATTTCACCGGCGTCTCTGACGGAGCTCGAGGATCAAGGTACGTTGCTTGCACACCATCCGCCCGTGTCACGATGTCGCGACGAGTCTCGATAAGCGAGCGCACCGTACGTTTTCAGCGCCAGTCTCCGCGGTCAGATTCCGAAGATCGAGCGAGGACGACGGGAGTTCCGTGACGGAAGAGAGCAACGCGACCCACGGGATCACCGATGTAATCCGGCATCCGGTCACGGAGCTGCGTGACGGCTTGCGAGCCGCGTGCCGCGTCGTCATCAACGCTGGTCGTCGCGTTCTCGCGCCGATCGAAGGGTTGCTGAGACGGTTGCTGGAGCTCGTTCGCTCGGTGTTCGGCGGATCGGCGAACAGACAGCGCAGATCGGCCGGATTCATGGAGAACTTCACCCCTTGGCTGAAACGGGCGCAAGGAGTGCTCGAGCGGTCGCAGAGGTTCATGCGCGAGGTCGGCGAGCTGGTCGAGGGGAGATCCCTGAGGAAGCGACGGCAACTGCTGTCGGGACTGGAGAACTTGGTCGGACATGTCGTGGGCTCTGTGGAGAACGTCGCGGGATCGGTGCTACCGCAACCCGTCACGCATCCCGTGAAATTCCTGAGTAACGTGACGAGCAACGCCGGAAGCTACGCCGCCGATGGGCTCACGAGGTTCCTGACGGAAGTGACGCGTAGGACCTTGCGATTCCTGTCTACGACGGGCCTGCCCTGGACGCACCGTATCCTCAACGAATTAGACAGCACCAACCAGTTGCCGCCTGTCGCTCACATGATCATACAAAATTTTAACGTCGCCTACAACCTGATCAGGTTGCTCGGTTACGTCAATTAACGCCGAGTGACGCAGACACGCTGTACGTCACATTGTTGTACGAGAATCCCGAATAAGCGGCGACCGTTCGAAATAAAGTAGAACGCTGAATACTACCGATCGAATTTCTCTGGTACCCACGCGTTCCCGTCCTCCGCGAGATTCGAGAATCCCGAGCGATCCGCGCATTCGCGTCGCGATGCGAGCGATACGTTCGGTTACGTCCAACGCGAGCTTGGCAGAGAAATGGATGAATCCTCGACGAAAACTTTCACGCTAGTATGTATTATAGAAACGATGCTCGGACACTATCTCGTTCCGTCCCATATTTTCCCTGGCTGCTTCGTTGGCATTTCGGGAGGGAATCATGGGGAGTGTGCGACAGACTCGTCTATCGCGGTGATGCTACGTGTCACGAGAAAAGAGAATCGTTTAAATTGACTAGCATCGTGATGCGTAGACGCAGAAGAACCCCTCGAACCGATTCGAATCTCGGCTCGAAAGAGAGAGGCGCCGTCAATCGTAACATAGTAACGCGACCGGAGAAATCTGTCGGATTTTCGTGTTCGCCCGGCGATTTCCGGTGCGATGCGGGCGCGAGAGGATCGCCGCTGGCGAGAACGATGCGGGTGCGTTCCGGTTCTCGCGCAACTGTTGCATTCCGCGGATGCCGTTCCCTTCTCGTTGTCTAACGTCTGCCCGAGGGACACGCGTCGATTGCATCGTTGGAAAGCGATCGAGGGTGACGAAAGGCGCGCTCGCCGTCGGACTTCCGGATTCGGCACGGCTGCGAGTCCGCCGCCGATCGCGAAACAGGCGACCCAAGCCGAGATAAGCATCGCTTCGAATGCCGCGTCGTTTGTCCGGTATCGCTGCGGCGCGGCAGAGCGCGGCGGAGCGTCACGCGTCAGCCGTCGCGCTGTTTGGATTTTTAACGAGCATCGGAGCCAAGCCTTCGACGCCGCCCGCGAAACGCGGCTCGTTTCGTGGGCCGAACGAGGAACGAGTCGAGCTCGTTCGAACAAGACGGTCCCGTCCGTCGCGTATCGCGCCGCTCGCTCGACACGCAGCCGACGGCGAATTCGCGGCGTCCGTTTAGAAGTCGTTTGCAAGCGGTTACGACACACGCGGCGGCTCGCGGAGCGCGGTGGTCGCGCGGCCGAGTTTCTTCCTATTCGTGTCGTTTTTCGAGGATACAGGTGAACGTGTGAGCGCGCGAACACCCGCGTATCCAGCTGCGTATTACCCGCGTCCACGTTGCGTCGACGCGTCAGTCGTCGGTACATTTGCAACGCGCCTGCACGATCCTCGCGTCGGCCGCGGGACTCGCGTCGGCCATCAATCGGTTGCAGAGGAGCGTGCGGAGATCCTCGGACGTGCTCGTGACGTTATGCCCGCGCTCGTACCCGCGATCGGGCAATTTATCGCGCATCCAGCGGCGATCGTCGCCGATACCGTTCGGCCTTGGTGATCGCGTTCCGTTCGCCGCGCGCGATCGCGTCGGACAACGCGAGATCCGATCGGACGCCGCGCGAGGACCGACGGAACAGAGACGGACCAGGCTATTCGAATGGCAATCGCGTTACCAGGGTTTATCGGATTTCTCGATTCCCCTTGCGCGCTCGCGCTCACGCTCGCGTTCGCGAGGATCGGCGCGGCCCGATTACGCTCCGTTACGTAATCGCGTACGGGCTGGTGCGTAATCTACCGTGGCGCGGACACGGACTACGGGCCGATCGAGGGAAGCCTTGGCACACTGCCGGGAGAAGCACGCGAACGCTGCTCGAATAATCGAACATGTCGATGAACGCGAACCTTTTGTTCGCAATCTCGTTCTGCGGTCTGGTCGCCCGGTCCGTCTCGGAGCCGCGACAGACGTGCGCGAACCTGGCCTGGGAAAAAGTCGCCGGTGTCAAGCCGGACTCGATAAAGTCGCAAAGCGTATTGTTCAGCGCCGTCAACTCGAACGGCATCACGAACAGTTGCTTCGAGAGGTAGGTGAACGAGGATCGAGGATCGAGGGGGAAAGTATACGTATGAAGCGGTCAATTTTAATTCTACATTAGAGCTTTGCTGTTTCCAACGACACATTCTAACGAATAATCCTTGCACGCGCGATTTCATTCGGGAAATGTTCGTCGTCGAGAGGCGAACGCTCCATATCTAGTTCGTCGTCGCGTCGGGCAAAGACCGAAGAGACGCAGATCGGATCTCGCCGTGTCGTGACCGCCGTTTCCCGATTTCCAGGTGCAAACGGCTCAACTGCACCGCGTTCGTCGTGGATTTCGGCAGAAGCGTCTGCTACGCTGTCGAAACGGAGGACGACGAGCTCGTCCCGGAGCCGAACTCGACGTACTACCATCAGATCTGCGTGAAAGGTAGCCGAGCGGCGGTCCGAGCCGCGCTTAAACGATCGAGGTCGATCGCGCTGGACCCGCCCGCCGACCGAATGCTATTTTAGTTGTCGTCAGTTCCAGCGAGCTGCACGCGAGACAGACTCTGGCAAGTGGAAAGAACCGTGGGAGCGGTGTTCATCGATCCCAATGCGTTCCACTTGCCCCGCTCGATCACCAGGAACCAGTGCTACGAAATTTGCGTGAAAACTGGTAAGCACGCTGACGCGGGATCCGTCGGGATCCGATGCGAGAACGGCGCGCGCGGGAGAACCGTAGCCTAACCGAGACCGACCGGGCGTGATGATCGCAGGCAGAAGCTGCGAATCGGCGCAGTTCCGCACGAGCAGGCCCCTCTCGTCCGAGGACACGATCGGCCGGTGCTCCCTCTCGTTGCTCGAGCGTGGTACCAGGCCGCAGGCCTACAGGGCGTCGATGTACAGAGACGAGTACCTTCGGGACCAATGCCGGACCGTCTGTGAGTAAACGAAAATCGCGCCACAGTCGCTCGAGGGACCTACAGAGCGAACCTTTTCAACCCGCGCGACCCCGACTTCGACCCTTTGGCTATGATAGACTTTCGCGAATTTCTAAAGTATCGAAAACACTGAATTGAACTGAGCAATCGTTGAATTAGAATTCACTTGCGTCGACGTAACTCGAGGTGAACAATAGATTTGACTTCTACGCTCCCTGGGCTCAGAGATATTGTAAGTATATTTTCAACCCTTAACTTTGAAGGGTGCTTCCAATGAGATAAAGTAGGTGTGAGATATGTTTCATCAAAATCGGTGTGTGCTGGTTGAAAAAGTTCCCTCATGACCTAACTCGGCGCTTCCTTTCGATTTCCTTTTATTTGTGCGAGACAAATACTACGAGAAACGTTCAAAGTTTCCAGGTGTGAGTCGTGTCCATGGAATCGTTTCCCGACGCTTCGCTAGTATTGCAGTCGCCATTACCAGGCAATTAATGATTAAAAAGGATCAACGAGTCCTCGAACGATGGCAACTGCCAGCAAGGCGTCGGGACACGATCCGGCTTGCGCCGGAAACCTCGAAAGTTTCTCAGAGTATCCTTTCGATTTCCCTCGAAATTCCAGCGAAACGGGAATACTGCTCGTACGCGGAGTTTCGGAACGCGTCGCTGCCGTACTCGGACGTGGCGCTGATGAACTCCGACGAGAATCAGGTAAGTGCCGGTCGATCCGTTGCTCGGTTTCGCGCCGCCCCTGGAAAGATATCCCGATTGAATTCAGTGCGAGAGGAGCTGCGACTCGAGCAGGCACGGTTTCCTCTGCAAAGGGTACACGCTGGACAATTCCACCGGCGAGTCGATCTGTCTGTTGCACTCGGAGGACACGAGCGGTTTGGGCGTCAGTTCGCTGGTCCCCGCGATGAACGCGATTTACCGGGAACGGGAGCCGTGCCTGGACCGTAAGTATCGCGGGATCGGAACGAGACGGTCGTTCGGCGCCGTCGCGAACGGTAGAGACCGAGGGAAACTTTATCGGTTCGTTTTTCCATCCCCTCGTCCCTCCGTTCTCCCGTCACCCCTTCCCGCCGTCCTCTTCCAGTGAAGGTACGATGCAACGAGACCGCCATGCGGGTCGAGTTGACCACGAACGACGCCTTCTTCGGTCGAATCTACGCGGCCAGCTACGCGGAGAGCTGCGGCGTCGACGGGCAGGGCGCGAACCGGACGGTGCTGACGTTGCCGTTGCCTCTGCCTCCGCCCTCGCTGTCAACGGGGCGTCCCAGCAACGCGAGCCCGCAGTGCGGCCTGAACACCGCGTTCTCCGTCGACGATCGTAACCGGTAAACCGCCATGATCCTCTGCCGTTCGAAACCGCGCCGACTAACGATCGACGACGATCTACCGTAGAACGCGGCCACTCTTCTGGACGACGATCGTGGTGCAGTTCAATCCGATCGTGCAACGTCTGGGCGACCAAGCGGTGCGCGTCGGTTGCTCGTTCAACGACCGCGAGCCACCGGAGCCGAGGAACGTCACCGTCCACACGAGCTTCAGCTTCCTCGATCCCAAGTAGGAATGTTCCACGTTATACGTCGCTCGATCGGTCTCGGGTTTATCTGAAATCTCGAATCACGAGTCTGGAATGTCGCGTTTCGGTGTGTTTAGCGCGGGGGTGCCGCCGATATCGTCGACGATAGTGAACGCGTCGTCGCAGCCGCCGCTGGTGACCATGAGGATCCTCGACGAGAACTCGAAGGACGCAGTCGTCACCCACGTGGGTCAGAAGCTTCTCCTCAAGATTCAATTGAACCCGGCGAACGGTAAGCGCGACGGAAATCGATCGTCGAGACTCGAACTCGCGGTTCGTCCCGTCGTTTGACCTCTTCTCTTTCCAAGGACCGTACGACATCGCGGCGGGTCAGCTCGTCGCGAGCAGCGCCTCG